TCTTACGGCCTTCACTGGATTCTCAGAAGCCTGTGAAAAGAAAAAAACACCCACAGATGTAGGAGCCAACAGGTTGTCTCGGTGCTGGGGTGATGGGTCTCCCAGTTTGCTGAAGAAGGGGGTCCTAGGATTTGGGGCTCTGGGTAGTTAAACAGATATGGGACTAGGTAGACCAAGACAAGTTGAATCAGGAAGCAACTTAATCTATTTTAGTGCTTGACATGAAAAGTCTATGTGTTGATGGAATGGACACTATTTTGCTGCCTCCCATTCGTGGCTCATTTGGGCATTTCTGGAGATTGCCAGGTGTATGTGCACAGTACCCTCGCTGGCCCCTCGGGGGAAGCAGCGAGGTGAGGACAGCCTCACTCTCCACAAGAGACATTCTGTGATCTGTGATATACCTTTCTCCCAGTCTTTTTATTGACCGAAATGAGAGAGGAGAAATGTTGGCCAAGAGCACAGGACTCGTGGCTGGAGGCGGCATTGTTGGGTGTCGTGGCTCACTCTTCCTTGAACCTCCCTCCCGAAGTCTCTCAAGTGTTTTGTGATGTTAACTTTGTTTAGAAGGTTTGATGTTTTATGAGATCAAACTTGTCAAGCTCTTTATGGCCTCTGACTTTTGCATCTTGATTAGAAAAGCATCCCCAGTTCAAGACTGTAGCAATATTCTCTGATTTCTTTTCCCCTGGAAACAGCCACAGCTGACGCATAATAAATGAGTGTGGCTGTGCCTAATAAAACTTCTTTATGGGCACTAAAATTTGAATTTCATATCATTTTCTCACGTCATAAAATATTATTCTTGTTTTGATTCCCGCCTCCGATCATTAAAATAGATGAAGCCTATTCCTAGTTGGCAGGTTACAAAAGGCTGGCAGCCAGTGGCGTTACCACTTGCCAAGGAACTAGAGTTTCAACTTGTCAAGCACACCAGGAAATGACTCTCCATGTCAACGTAGCTTGTTGCTGATGCCTAGGCTCAGAGCATCAAGCCAGAAAGCACAGCTCGAGGCTAGGGTGTGTTATCTCTGCCTAGATTTAGCTGTCACTTCCAATAAAACTCTCTCCCCGAAGCAGCTTCCTGCAGTTCATACTCAACCCTGCGTCACCAGGACTGCAGGCAGGACAGCCATTCCATCATCTTTCAGACTGACACGGAGATTGCTCTTCTGTGATTTCTTAAGTGCAAAAAGACCAGGGGTGACTTGGGAAATAACCAGAGTCTGCAGCAAGCACTTTCTCCCGCACTCATTAAAAAGATGCCTTTGGGGGCTGGAGAGATGGCTCAGAGGTGAAGAGCACTTGCTGTTCTCCCAGAGGACCCGGGGTTCAATTCCCAGTACCCACAGGATGGTTCACAATCATCTGTAACTGGTCTCCAAGGACACCAGGCATACATGTGATATGTAGACACACATACATGCAAGCAGAGCACCCACACACATACAATAAGAAACAACTTAAGAAGAAAATTTAAAAGACACATTGTCTGTGATTCAGACATTAGTCTCTTTAAGTTTTCTCTGATATACAAAAAGGTAACTTGTGTAGAACACTTGAAAAAGGACAATCTGAACAACAGAAAGAAGACCCCTAATCTTAGGAGACAACCACATTGAATTATACCACACAGTTCAATTGTTTGCCCATGTGACTCAATTAGTGATATCAGACTCTGTTCCCCATTGTGATTCACCTACACACCCACATACCACCCTCTCCCAGCCCCCCACACATACTCACGCTCACTCACACTCACACATACACACACATACACATACTACCCTCTCTCACCCACCCCCACACATACACATGATCACACATACACACAACACTCTCACACACTCTCTCTGTCTCTGTCTCTCTCTCATACCACCCTCTCTTACACATATACACCTCTCTGTGTGTCTGTCTGTCTGTCTGCCTGTCTCTCTCTCTCTCATTTTCTTTCTCTCTCTAATATACATACAAACAAATGAACAAACAAACAAACAAACAAAAAAACCCAAACCAAAGCCCAAACAAAACCAAAACAGAGAATCAGCAACCCCAAGGACTAGAAGTCATAATATAATATTTCAAATTATTGAATAAACAGAAAGTATAGTTTTACAAACAAAACCTAATGAAAAATGAATGCTCAAGCCTGAAGGAAGGAATCAATAGAATTCAAATGAAAAATATCACTCGTGAAAGAAAAACTTCAATGGGTCAATTAAACAGATTAGTCCATCTCAAGAAAATTAGTAAATGGAACAACATAATTCAGTATTTTAAATTAGACCCAGAAAATATATTTGATAAGGCATGCCAGAATTCAGGAGAGAGAAAAAGAAAAGTAAAATATGAAAGGGAGATTAGTATGTGTGGAGATACATGAAGGATAGAAAGGAAATACACAGCCCAAGAGGAAAAAAAGAAGCAAGTGAGGCAAAGAAAGTATGTATACAGCAACAGCAAGTTTCCCAGGAATGAGTGGTGCCTGAGTCTTCTGCTCCAGGAAGCAGGAAAAGGAGAGATCCCCCTTCTAGGTTCCCTGTAGTGAAGAAGAAGGATGTGGGGAGGTTGGAACCATTGAGCATTGCTGCTTAGGATGAAGGATAGTACTGCTGTTAGGGAAAACAGTGTGTGTGTGTGTGTGTGGGGTCCTCAGAAAACTAAACACAGGGTCATCACACGACCCAGAAATCCTACTCCTCCAGCACAGCTCATCTCTGCCATACACACCCTAGAGAAGCAATTCAAACCGGGAGGACTTATCTTGGTTCACAGTCTCAGAGGGATCAGCAGTTCCCTGTGGCAAGGAAGGCAGGGCCAAGCTCATGGAGACAGGAGTGTGTGCCAGAGGGTCCCCCTGCTCTGTCACAACAGGAAGCAGTCAGGTCAAGGTTATGTGATGACTCCTCCCCCCGCCCCCCAGCACAACTGAACTAGCTCCTTTGACACATTTGCAAGATCTTGCTCCATGAGCAAGTCGAAGCATCCAGACTGTCTTTTCCAAGTTTCTGAACACCAGATGTTTGTTTTGTTCTGTGGTCAGTGATGCTCGGTCTGCACTTGCCAAGACTCCCTAAGCTTCCTTCGGTGCAGAGTCAATCTCTTTGATGGCACAGCACGACCCCGATTCTGTCCGTGTGTCACCAGACAGTGGACTGTTCTGAATTGTGGGGTGTGGCCCCACAATGTCTGGAGGAGATAGTTCAGTTTGTAAAAAAGTAAAGTGAAATTTTTGGTAACCTCCTCCTCACTACCAATCTAATGTGAATATCTTATGGGGGACAGTGATATTTAAAGGAAAAATGGAATGTGCTCTTAGGAAATTTTTGTTTAATGAGTGAATGTCAAATGTTTGACTTCTAAACATTTCTTCTACTTGTCTCTTTTCTTCCTGCTAGGAAAGGCGCCGATGCCCAGACCTGGCTACAAACCTCAGGAGCCCAATGGTTGCGGTTCCTATTTCCTGGGCATCAAGGTACCAGGAAGTGTATGTACCACTATTATTACCTTCTTGATTGGTGTGTTTTCGAGTATGAGCAATCCAAGGGCTATGATCACTGATGGAAGCGATCATTTATGGAATCCACTCAAGAAGTGTGATTTGGTATTTTAAACAAGACTAGGGGAAGGGAGAGATTTTCAAGGCAGACACTTGAGTTCTTTCTCTCAAAGCCTGCTGTCCCTCAGCTAAGCTTCTGGTATAATTGAACTTCAAAATCACCTCTATAAGCATTGGCTACGATTTATGGCATCAAGATATAATGTAAAGATGACTGGATAACGTTGACTTATTTAAGCTAGTAATTCATTCCAGCGATGGACTGGTACTGGCCAGAAAGAACTGATTATAATGGCTGACTTCTGCATGCAGACTTCCTGTTCAAAGTGTCAGATCAACAGAGCCGCTCTTTACTGAGATTTGTTAGCACACCACTGACCCTTTCTCAGACTATCAGCTTCTTCTAGGAGCGAGTGATGACTTGATCTCCTTGAAGGTTTCTTGGAAGGGTCTGGTTTTTGTAGAGTGCTTGCCCCACATGCATGAAACCCTTAGGTAGTGCCACATAAACTAGATAGAGTGGTACATGCCTGTAATTCCGGCATTCCAGAGATTGAAACAGAAAGCTCAGAAGTTCAAGGTCATCTTTGACTACACAGTGAATCTGAGGCCAGCCTGGGCTACACGAGACCCTGTCTCAAAAGTTAGGGCTTGGGTTGGGTGATAGCTCAGTCAGCAAGCGCTTGCTTTGCAACCAAGAGAACCTGAGTTTGGTCCCCGGACCCCACATTAAAGTCTGGTCATGGTGACATTCACTCATGCACCACTGAATCTTGCTTTGCAACCAAGAGAACCTGAGTTTGGTCCCCGGACCCCACATTAAAGTCTGGTCATGGTGACATTTGCTTGTAATGCCAGTACAGCCAGGTGCTTAGGGCTCCCTAGTCATCTATTTGGAGAATTCCAGGCCAAAGATGGACCCTGACTTAAAACAAACACACAAACAAGTATTGGCACCTGGGAAATAATAACTGAGGTTGTCCTCTGGCCTCCATTCAAAAGCTCACATGTACACACACACACACACACACACACACACACACACACACACACACAGAAAGAGAGAGAGAATTTCATAGGTTGCCTTTGACCTGCCCTTTAGAAGAGAGGATTCATATAAAATGTAGCTACAGGTACATCAATTACAATATTGAATTGTGTCCTGTGTGTGTATGTGTGTTTGCATTATGTCGTGTGTGTGTGGGTGTGTGTGTGTGTCTATGAGCACATGTGCATTCAAACACTTATGCACATGTGTGCATGTGTGTGTGGAAGCCAGAGGTTGACACTTGATGTTTCCTTCAATTGCTCTCCAACTTGTTTTTGTTTGTTTATGTGTGTGTGTGTGTGTGTGTGTGTGTATGCCCCTAATGGGCAACTTGCTGGTGTTTTCTCCTTCCACTCTGTGGATCCTGGTGACTGAACTCAAGTCTTCAGGCTTGGCGCCAGGAGCTTTTACCCATGGAGCCATCTTGCCTTCCCTCTACCTTATTTTTATTATTTGTTTGTTTGTTTGTTTAGAGACGGGGTCTCTTGTTGAACCTGGAGCTCATCACTTGGCTAGGCCAGCTGGCCAGTCAGCTTCAGGGATCCGGCTGTCTCCACAGCACTGGGGTTACAGGCATGCTACCATGCTCGGCTTTTGTGTGTGTGCTGGGGTCAGAACCCCGGCCCACTCACCCACACAGCGGGCTCTTTACTGACTGAACCCTCTCCCCAGATCCTCCTCATGTTTTGAGCAGAGTCTCTCACTGAATCTAGATCTTACCAATTAGCTAGACTGCCTGGCCCTCGATCCTCTCATCTCCACCTTCCCTGGATGGGCTACAGGCTGCCAACTTTTAAGTGGGCACTTAGAGTTGACTATCAGGTCTTCATGTTCGCTTGGCAAGTACCTTACTGACATCCATCTCAGGCCCTGAATAGTCTCTTTTTAAAAAATATTTTTCATATATCAAATAATAGATGTTTAAATGGTATTTTTTGTGTATGGGTGTTTTTGCCTGCGTGTATGTCTCTGCACTATATGCCTGCAGTGCCTATGGCAGCCAGAAGAGGGCGTGAGATCCTCTGGGACTGAAGTCACTGACTGTTTCGAGGTACCATGTCAATGCTGAGTCCCCTGGAAGCTCAGTCAGTGCTCCCAACCTCTGAGCCACCTCCCCAGCCCCCCGAATTGTATCTTAATACAGCTAAGCCTCAATTTTTAGCTGATTCAAGAACTTCACTGGGCAGTTGCTGTCTAAGCGGCTCCACGGGCCTTCTAACTGACCTGCTGCTCAGCTATTGGCATTTCCACACCAAACTGCAGAAAGGTCCTCTATCCTCTGGGCAATTTTCATGCATCTGTCAGAAATACATACTCACACACTGGTTTTGTTGGAAGCTTGAATGCCATTAGCTGGACATGTTTTAAGTATGTGAAATGTTACAAGACACTAAAATGTCTTGGAGAAACACTTGTGTCTCTCTACACAGTGTTCTTGTCCCTTACACTGGGGCCAGCCTGTTCTCCATCAGCAGTAAGTACATATCCACGAGCAAGACTATCCTGTCAACTGAGTGAATTAGAGAAATGACCTATTTTCAGCTGTGAACTTAGTCATTCCAGAAGGGGGTGCATGGGGACTGAGGATGTAGCTCAGTGGTCAAACACTTCCCTGCATGTGCAAGGCCTTGAGTTCAGTCCCCAGTGCTGCCAAAATCAATCAATCAATCAATCAATCAACCAACCAACCAATCAATCAATCAATCAACCAGTTAATGTAGTACAGTGGTGGTGCACCCTTTTAATCCCAGCATTCAAGGGGTAGAATTAGGTAGATCTTTGTGAGTTCAAGGCCAGCCAGAGCTACACGGTGAAACCATCTCAGAAAACAAACCAACAATTGGGATTCTATTTAGAAGTATTTAGTAGTATGTCACGCTATTTAGAAGTAGTTCAGGTATCTCCCATCCAATCCAGTGGAATGGTGGTCATTACACTTCAGCCTTGTCATAGGGTGGCCAGACAGCATCCTTCGCCTCAGGCATCAGACAGCCTATCAAGACTTGCAGTACCCAGTTTGTGTCCCATCTAAAGAGCTGGGCTGTCTTTAATGTGATTTGGTTGTTGTTTTGCTTTGCTTAAGAGCATTTTAAACAGTGGAGTCCTTGTTGTGTCAGGTGGCCTTGGATTAGTAAGGACCTGAAAGGCACTAGGTGGAGAGGCTCTCTAATCACTGATGACACTCCTCACCCATGACCTGAGAGCAAATTTCGCCACCTCCCATCCACATCCCAACTTCCAAAGCCAGGTGTGGAGGCAGGAGGATTCACTCAAGGCCATAATGAGTCTGGGGCCAGCCTGAGCTACATAAGAACCTGTCTGGAAAAACTAGCAAACAAGAAACCAAGCCCAGATTATCAGGAAACTGCAAAGGTGTCTAAGATGCCCTCTCCAGCACTAAGATCACCTGCTCTG